GGCACTGTATTTTTACTTGTACCAATAGTATTTTTATTGTCACTGTGATATCGATATCGGTATTGAGTATCAGGTCTATCCCTTAGTATCGAAATCGAGAACTAGTACTACAATACTTCTAGTACACTAGTAGTATTGGAGTAGTAGTAGTAGTATACGTTCTTTACAGTATTTGTACTTTGAGACAGATTTGAAGTACTTTTTACTTCACCCTCTGCCCTCTCAGCTTCTCGTCTGTTTCTCTCCTTTCTTTCGGTGGAAGTAGATTTGCGAAGCAGGAATGGCCGCTGTGGCACGCTCCGGCTCCTGGCTCAGCTCATTTAATATTGAGCACCGGAGGACGGTCATACACATAACAGACTCATTCTTGTAACGCACAATGAAAACTATTTAAACTGGGTATAAGATGTAAGTTAATCTGTTTTAAAAAGGTAATTTCTTTGCCACAGGATTGCGTGGTTGGGCAGACGGCAGTAGGTCACTCGCAGATGTTTTAGCGATTAAGAAATGAAATAACCGTACTTGGGATCAAATTGGACATTGTAAATCTTTAATATGGGCATATATGTACGGAACATGGGACCGTGGTTTGTAGACATGCCATAGGCAATATACTGATGTTAAATGGATGGAGCGGGTACGACGTTGAACTTGAGTTACTGTCGTCCAAAATGTCTGGAGATGTTGATGTATTGACCAAACGAGTGGTTTTAGGTTTAAATCTGGTGTAGTCATGAATTATTCCAGATTTGGGTCCTTTTTCAGTCCTGTTTCCAACCTGGTTTAAGAATAAAAAACTTTATTTGGTCTTCAATGGGCAAAGTGAGACGTGAAAACAGCCTGATTCATCAACCGGTTTCACTTCGTAGAAACTGACCTCGCAGTATTAGAATTCGTTTGCTCGACGGTAGGCGAGTACTGTTTTCATTTAACCAATCGCTGCTATTTGGCTGTGACGTATGTAACGTGCCGTTAACGGGACTAGCATTGTATATTAAACTTTTCCCAAATTCCGTAGGAAGAAGGGCAATATCAAGTTTTTCCCCTTGATAAAATTCACCAAATATTCTGGTTGTTCCGGCTTGAAATCCTCGATCTCGGGAATCGTTGCCAAAACAGAATATATGGCTCTTCGCTGATTGGCTGATGCCCGAACTCGCACTTCCGGGGTTTTTGGGAAGAGTCTATTGTATTCCGATTCCTGACCTAGTCGCTAGAGAGAAATTAAATTGAGCAGAGGCACAAGGTGGCGCCAGCCTAGCTAATCCAAACCAATGATATCAGCTGAATTTTTAGCATGTTCCTGTTGCTTATTGTACCTCTTTACCCATTTTGTATTGTCTAAAGAACATGAAAATCAGAATTAGTTTGTTTTTAAGGTCCTATATTACGCAAATTTACGGATTACGGACTCTTCTGAGCTTTTCAACCATGTTCAAATGTTGTTTAATTCATCTTTTATTATTAGTCTGTTTACATCTGCAAAGCTCAAAACGCTCTGTTCCACCTTGTGATGTCATATTGTGGTAGTTTTCAAGTTAACAGCTACCTTTTACCTTTTGTTAACTATTTGTTAAACTACGGCTTCATGACATAAGGTGGAACAGAGCATTTTGAGCTTTGAAAATGTAGACAGACTAATAATAAAAGATTAATTAAACACGTGGGAATTAGACAAAACAACTCCAGGTAGCTTTTTTTGTTTGTTTGTTTTTGGTAATTTAACAGCATTGTAACATGGCTGACAAGAATTAATTTTGTGTAATATAGGATCTTAAAAGGTGCACAGTGTAACTTGTGGAGGAGTGTCCGTCACCTGCTTGTTTCTGTGGATATGTAATTTCTCTACTTGTAATGTCCCACAGTATGACATTAAGCAGCTCTATCTTACATTTTTTTCAATTACAGGTGGTTTTACAGCTCAAAAATCCCTAGAAAAACATGTATTCTCCACAGATCTGACCTGTAACTTGTTCTGGTTTGGTATCCATGAAAATAGAAAGGTTTAATTCCATACTGTGAAACATTCCAGACAAAGGAATCACATCTTAATGGAGAAAAGAATTTGATGGACTCCAAGAGAAGTTACACAATGCACTTTTAAGTTAAGACTTCCATACATACATAAATATTTTTGTTGAAACTTTTTCTTAACTCGAATTACTTTAAAAACAGTCTTTTTTCTTCTTTCTTTCTTTCTCACACATTGTCCTCTTCCCGTAGTCTTATTAATCTCACAGGCTGCGATTCTAGACTTTGACTTAGTGATTCTTCCCATCCCTTAGCTCTGCACGCTAACATCAAACGACCTGTCTCCCATGATCCTTTGCTCTTCTTCCTCCTCTTCTTCCTCTTTTTTCCCCCTCTCGCCGTCCACACGCGCCTCCATTACTCCTCATTACCGTCAGCGCGCGCCTGTCAAAACTACCGTTAGCACGTTAGCCACGGTTAGCGCTTGTTAAAACCCAGCACAGAACGAACACGGCGCTTCTTTTGGCTCCGGGGTTATGGATGAAGAGACAGTGGGTTGAGGTTAAGTAGCCCGCACTCGGGTCACTACGGGTCAGGGTACAGTCATTTGTTATGTGCTGCTGCTTCCATAGTGTATTTTGTACATTTAGCTGAATCATCCTTTTTATGGACTAGCAGTGCGGCTAATATTTCCAGTAAAAGTGAGTCGGTTAAAAGCTAGCGCTGCAATATCATAAACTTTCTTGGTTCGTTACAAACGTCAGACATGTATTTACAACCGAACCCCAAATACAGTGATAGAGAAGTGGTTTATACAGTACTCCTCCATCAAATACTAGTGGTAGTAGTAATAATAGTTGAAGTAGTAGTAGTTGTTGTTTATTTATTTATTTATTTGAGACAGGGACACTGCACAATTTTTGCATTAGCCTTAACAGGAGAGATGCATTGTACATCAGTTTGTATTATCAGTGCTAATTTCTAATCTGTTGTAGTGGTGGTTTATTAATATTTGGCTAGTAGCTGTATATATATTCCATTATCAAATAGGCTAGTGGCAGTAGTAGTAGTAGTAATAGTAGTAGTAGTAGTGGTAGGAGTAGTAGTAGTCTTATAGTAATAGTAGACATTCCATCATCAAGTAGGCTTGTGGTTGTAGTTGTAGTACTAGTGGTTGTTTTTGTAGTAGTGGTTTAAATAGCCTATTACTAGTTGCCTAGTAGTAGGAGTAGTAGAAGTAGTAGTCATCAAATACTAGTGGTAGTAGTCTTAGTAGTAATTGTTGTTGTTGTAGTGGTGGTTTATTAGTATTTGCCTTGGAGTCGTAGATATTCCATCATCAAATAGGCTAGTGGTAGTAATAGTAGTAGTAGTACTAGTTGTGGTGGTGGTTTAGATATTTGTACCTGCCTAGTGGCAGGAGTAGAAAGAGCCTATTAGTAGTTCTTCACCAAGTATGCTTGTGGTAGTAGTCGTAGTAGTAGTAGTAGTAGTAGTAGTAGTAGTAGTAGTTTGCTGTTGTAGTGGTGATTTATTAGTATTTACCTAGTAGTTGCAATTGCTAGTTGCAGCAGCAGCAGCAGTAGTAGCAGTAGTAGTAGTAGTAGTAGTAGTAGTAGTAGTAGTAGTAGTAGTAGTAGTAGTAGTAGTAGTAGTAGTAGTAGTAGTAGTAGTAGTAGTGGAAGTGGCAGTGGTTTAGATATTAGTTGCCTAGTAGTAGGAGTAGTGGTAGTAATAGCCTAATAATAATAGTAGTAGTAGTAGTAGTAGTAGTAGCAACAACCATATTTGAGTAAATCAAGCTAATTTTTAATTTAAAATGTCTTGGCTTAGTTTTGGCTTTTCATATTTTTACCCAGCTAGCTGTTAAATTTTTATGAAATATTCACTCAAAAGTTGGTAGTTAGATCCTGACTACATCAACTGAACCACATACCTTTGCTATGTCACTGGGCAATACACTTCACCTCTCATTCCCATCTCACCAAATTTCGCTTTCATCTCACCAACAATTGAACTCTGGAACTGTACGTTTTCCTTATGCAAACAGCCGAGGGGGTCTATCTTTTCCCAGTAGCGGATTAGCATGTTTTTCTCCAGCTTTGACATGAACCAGCCTCTCTCCCTGACAACCCCGCACAGATCACCTCGACTTGCCCTGGCTTCTGCGCTACAACAACATCCCTCCACCGTGTCCGCGATCTGTAATTACTTTATAAAGCCTTGCATATCTTAAAAGCCCCCATGTATTTTTTATATTCTACCCCATCTCTCTTTCCCCTCGGCCGATTCCGATAATGCAATTTATATTCACTTTTATCCAATAAGCTCTTGTCTCCCATCTCAGGAAATTAAGTTGTCATCCAGTGTCTCTTTCATTAATGCTGGTATCATTTCATTGCTGTTTATTGAATTCCAGGTAGCGACTGATGAGGATATGGGCCCGGCAGAATCTAATATAACATGTATTTTTAACTCTCCATCTTGTCAGTGCATTATTAACAAAGGCTATGTACTGAAAGATTCATGCATTTGGCGGTGGTTCCGTTTGTAAGAGGTTATACTATGCAAAATTGACTTTAATGAGCTTTCAAACATGGTAGTTCTTTGCGCGTTTGAAATTATACCTATAAAGTACTTTTTTTCTGTCAGCAGTTGGAGCTTGGAAGTGCTCCGGTGGGTTTTGAAGTCCTTATACCTGCGCTGAGCTTGTTTGGATCATTTCAGGGTTTAAATTTGCTTCTGTGAAAACGTTGATCTGTTAGCATCCTGTTGGTATCTGGCCATGTTATGTTTTAGCTGTTCCAAAATGCTTTTACGTGCCTGTATTGCAAAGACAGAGCGTTTAAAAAGGTGATCCAACTGTCCAAAGGAAAAGTGACAGAAAAATCGCTTCACAAGAAACACATTTCTGAATTTATGCTTTGTTGTACTTTTGAAAATCTGAAATGTTTATCTTGAATTGTGAAAAGAAGATTGTTTAAAAAAGCCAGGCAAAAAAATTAAGTACATTTTACTTTCTTTTTCAGGTGGATCTTGGGTTTCTTCGGTTCGTCTCGGCCATCGGAACACAGGGCGCCATTTCTCAAGAGACCAGTAAGATCTACTTTGTGAAGTCCTACAAGGTGGACGTCAGCTCCAACGGAGAAGACTGGATCACGCTGAAGGAGGGCTCCAAACAGAAGGTACGACATGTTTGGAAGCTGAGTCGAGCAATGTTTCTGGGGTTGATTTGCTTGCAAGTAAACTCCGTTATAAAGACGGTTTGAATTAACATTTTATGCTTTTAAGATGGCATGCAGATAGCTGTAAACAATTAGCATTTAGCACGATCAGAAGTTTTACTTATGATCTACTGCACATTGCGTCAGGTTTGTGAAGTTGCAAGATTACTCAAAAACATGTGGATGACATAAAACTAAGGTGACCAGATGTCCCTATTTACCTTGGACAGTCCCAGTTTAACAAATTTATCCAAAACCAGTGATTAGTTATACAAGAAATGTCCCAGATGTCCCTATTTTTGACCAATTTGATCAGTCCCAATAGTAAAGAGTGCATCAGTCAGTTTCACTTCGTAGAAACTGTCTAACCTCGCAGTATTAGAATTCATTTGCTCAGTGGTAGACGGGTCGTGACGTATGTAATGCACTGCTAACGGAGCTAACTGGTATATTAAACTTTTCCCAAATCTCGTAGGAAGAAGGACAATAACGTCTTTCCCCTTGATAAAATTTACCAAACATTCTCTTTGTTCCAGCTTTATATCATCGATCTTGGGAATGTATGGCTTTTCGGTGATTGGCTGACGCCCTAACTCGCGCTATCAAGGTTTTTGCGAACCATCTAGTGTATTCCGATTCCTGACGTAGTCGCTGGAGAGAAATTAAATTGAGTGGAGGCACTGGGTGGCGTCAGCCTGGCTAGTAAAGAGAGGTATATACTGTCATTTGTTTAGGTAAAATACAGAATACATTTGTTTATGAATTCTAGCAAGACAGCAGACAAAAAATATTTAAACAGCCCATATTAGGCTATTTTCTGATCCATGTTTTAATGTAGTTTCCTCATCACAAACCTGGAGTTGTATTTTGTTTCATTCACATATATTTAACACTTAAACACTGCAGATTGAGACTGAATTCTTCTTTCAAACTAAAAACAAAACAAAACACTCTGTTTTTAAATTCCAGAAACCTTCACTAGAATAATTTGGATGATTTCAGCTCTGGAATTTCTAGGGATGTAACGGTACATGTGTTTGTGCTGAACAGAAAGTACAGAAAAGCGGCTTAAAAATGACCAAAACACAAAGAAAATGTGACTATACTGACTCACAATTGTGCCGAGTGCATAACAATTTTGCCTAATTACACACACATTTCACAATTTTATTATTACCAACCAACCCAAACCAGATTTTTATTTTGAAAATCTGGTCACCCTACATGAAACCACTCCAAACGCATTCCAAAAAGTAAGAGTAATACCCCCTCTTTAAGTACAAGCCAATATAACTAACTTCAGAAGTAAATTTTTCATAAGAATTAAAGAACACCTTATCTACAAACCATGGCCTAGATACAAAATTGTGTCTTCATAGTCGGTCAACTGAAAAAAATAATAATTTGACTTTTTATACAGCACTACAAATTATCACAACCTCAAACTTATAATTCACTGTAATCTATTTTTATGTTTTCTATGGCCAAACAATTAGCGCTATCAAACTCAATTAGGAAAATCTGTTTTTACCACCGCGACTGTATTTAAAATGTCTGCCAGCTAACCAAAAATAACTCTTCTCGTCTTTGATTCTTCGCCAGATGATCTCACCAAAACCATCTTGGCACATGTTTACACTTTACACAGCCCATCTCTGCTGTCTCCTTTGATATACATTGCGGTAAACGTTGCCTTCAAGGACCACGCACGGTATAGGGAAAACCCAGCTTTACCGCACGGGCCCCTGCTTGCCAACGCGCGATTATACACTTAGCGCGCTATGCTAATCTCGCCGCAGTAGCGTGTGTTGGATCTTATAGCGAACACAAGCCTGAAGTTGGTAGCCATGGGGCAGGTTTAGCGCTGGAATGTTAGCGTATGTTTTACGTCAAGCTCAAGACCGTATAGGAAGCAAGCATGACAAAAGACTTGACAAATAGGCGTTTAAAGAAGGCGAGGATACACGAGCGGGGCTGTCATGTTTGAGCAGCTGGGAGGAAGGAGGGGAAAGTATGGTCCAGAAGAATTGATTGGCAAAAGGCGTCAAACAAAAGTGAGTTGGTTCATCCGGAGGTAAACAAGCTAAAGTTCAAGGGTCGGAAACTGTTTTGGAGAAGTGTAAATATCACAAGGGAGAGTTAAGAGCTAACACTTCTTTGGGTGCTTGAAATCCTTTAAAAAATGTGTTGTTTTTGTTCAAGAGCCCATTATGACACGATTTTCTAATCTCGGTTATAATGTTGATGAAAATGACAATTTGCACCGATACATGTGTTTTGTTTAACATACAAAACCTGCATATTTAGGCTGAATTCTTCTCTCAAACTAAAAAAACACTCTGTTCCGTCATGTGGTAATACAGAAAGTGCTCCATTTTGTTTTTAAACTCCATACACCTTCACTACCTCAGAATCACTTCGATGATTTCAACTCTGGAATTGCCAATTTCCACTGAAATAAAAGTAAAAATGTAGCTGTTAACTTGAAAACTATTTACTCACTACTTACTTAATGACATCACAAGGTGGAACAAAGCATTTGAGTTTAGAAGATGTAAACTGACTAATAATAATACATACATACAAACTACTTAAAAGTGAATGAGTACTACTTTCACAGCATATTTTTCCAGAATTTATTTATTTATGATTTCTAGCAAGACAGCAGACAAAAAATATTTAAAGGGCCCATATTAGGCTATTTTTTGATCTCTGTTCTAATGTTGTTTCCTTATCAGAAACAGACCTGGAGTTGTGTTTTGTTTCATTCACACATTTAACACAGAAAACTACATTTTTAGGGTAAATTCTTCTCTCAAACAGAAAATACTCTGTTCCACCTTGTGATGTCATGTGGTAATACAGACAGTGCTCCAGTGTGTTTTTAAACTCCACACACCTTCACTAGAATCATTTGGATGATTTCAGCCCTGGAATTGCCAATCTCTACTGAACCAAAAGGTAAAAGGTAGACACTAACTTGAAAACTACCAATTCATGACATCACAAACTTTGAAGATGTAGACAGACTAATAATAAAGGGTTACTTAAACGTGTGAATGAAACAAAACACAACTCCAGGTCTGTTTTTGAGGAGGTTATCACATTCTAACATGACTTAAAGCTTCACAAGATTCCATTTTGTGTTATATAGGCCATTTAAAGATCATGGTTACAGTGAAAAAGAATCAAAAAAGTTGTTTGGCTGATAATAAATTGCAAAAAATACAGTTATAATAAAACCGATGTCACAAGCATCTAATCCAGCTAGAAAAAGTTGAAACATTGTTCAAAAGAAATTCCAGTTTGGAAGCTGAATAGTGTGGACACAGTTGTCTAGTATAAAGCACTGTTGGCAAAGTGGGTTAAGTGTAGGGTGACCAGATTTTCAAAATTCAAAATGGGGACACACCCGGGTTGGGATGTTTGGTATAAATAAAATTGTGAAAAGAGAATTCTCACAATTCTGCATTTTTACACATTTTGCATTCTTACGTCAATCATAATCTGAAGAACTTCTGACGCTGCTTTATGATCATTCGCATATGCGGTTTTCTGCATTTTGGATAAACAAATTACAATTAATGCTCCTCTTTACTGTTGGTGGGGATCAGATTAGTCAAAAATTGTGATAGTCCTGTTTTAGTCCTGGTTTAGACCTGATGTAGTCCTGGTTTAGTCTTAGTTTAGTCCTGGTTTAGATCAAATTGGTCAAAAATAGGGACACCTGGGACATTTCTTGTATAAAACTGGGACAAATCACTGGTTTTGTATAAATCTGCTGGAACAGGGGACACAGGGCTCAGAACTAGGACTGTCCCGGGTAAATAAGGTCATCCTAGTTAAATGTTCACTTACTAACCATGGGGTAGCTGGTTTAAAATTCACTTTCAGTTGAATAGCCTATAGAACAGAACACAGGTTAGTAAAGTAACTTCCCTAAACTCTGTCATTTTTATGTATTTTTTTCTTACATTATTGCGCACCTGATGTAAAAAAAAATAAACTGGAATCAAGATAAAATGAACCTTTCTTTAAATTAATTGGAATATCCTGCATAACCATATCTCCATTTTGATTTAGTCTAATACACGTCGCTCTATTGAATTTCCTGAAAAAGCCATTGAAACCAAAAAGAAAACACGTTCTTGTACTTCGCCGGAGGAAACCGTGTACCAGCCCGGCTCCTGTCTGCTCTCTGCTGTTGCTCCACGCGCCCCGGGGCTGACTTCTTTTATGTCCCCTCCAAACAACACTCTCCCTTGGGTAAAACGCTAGCTTTAAGGCTTCCACTGAGCACTGTACATGTGTTTTTTTTTCCTCCTTTCTAAAGTGCTTTTGTACAGAGGGACACCATTTGCGACATGCTGAGACTGCAGTTTAGCGGCGTTAGCTTAGCGTGGGAAGAAAAGGGGCACTTTGCTTTGGCGGCTGAAAGGTCTCGATAGCGTTTAGGGACCTGGTGACACGAGGGAACACTGGTACTATTGGCTAATGGCAAGGTGCTGCTTTTTTACACTGTTTTTTTTTGTTTATGGGCCACTGTGGTTATTGGTGACAAAAGTAAATAAGCCTAAAAGTTCAGATTTCAGATCAGTGTCGAATGTGGCTTCAATACGATCGGACAAAATTAACAAATTGTAGTCAGAATTCATTACAGTTACAACAGTTAATCTAATATGACAATGGGTACTCTAAATGTATCAACAATTTTAATTTTAAATCATGTATTTTATTTTCGATATTTAAATGAATGCTATTTTAACATCCCTTTTTTCCCCCAGAATTTATTTTAAAAAATTATTTTAAAAAAAATTAAAGAGCCCATATTAGGCTATTTTCTGATCCGTGTTATAATCACAATAATCACAATCGCAGCAATTTTATTTTTTTAATTTTTTTCAATATGCCTTTTAAGTGTCCCGTATTACGCAAAATTTACTCCTGTGAGCTTTAAGCCGTGCTAGAGTGTTGTTACCTCATCACAAACAAACCTGGAGTTGTGTTTTGTTTCATTCACATATGTCTAACACATAAATCCAGCATATTTTGGCTGAATTCTTCTCTCAAACTTAAAAAAAAACACCTTGTGATGTCATATGGTAATACAGGAAGTGCTCCACTGTGTTTTTAAATTCCAGAAAGCTTCACTAGAATAATTTGGATGATTTCAGCTCTGGAAATCCTAGGGGTGTAACAGCATATGTATTTGTGCCAAAATTGTTTCGGTACCTGACGTTTGGTTCGGCGTGCAACTGTGCACGAGTGAGTTTGCGCAATTTGTGTGTGTTTAGATTCCCCCACTACATGTGCAGCTACACGGAAGACTCGGCTTTTTAATATTCACGAGGGAACTTAACCGTTATTGGGGTGGCAGTGTTTCCCGCAGCGCTTTATAGTTAGGATGACAACAATTGCTCCCCGACTTGACTATGTCCCTCCGAACCACGTGAATCCTCGCGCCGTCGCGCCCCTTTCCTCACTTTCGTCAGCATGGAAGAGATTTTTGTGGACCGTTACACCCCAAGGAATTTCCATTTTCTACTGAACTACATGTAAAAACTTAGCTGTTAACTTGAAAACTATTTACTCTTAATGACATAACAAGGTGGAATAAAGCATTTTGAGTTTGGGAGATGTAAATAGTCTAAAAATGCAGGATTACTCAAACATGTGTATAAAACAAAACACAACTCAAAGTATGTTTTTGATGAGGTAACAATATTCTAACAGGACTTAAAGCTCACAGGAGTCAATTTTGCGTAATACAGAACCCTTAAAATGCACACTGGAAAAAAAAAAAGCTGCATTGCTATTTAGCCTCTACTTACCCTGCATTTGACTTTTAGACTTGTTGACTAACGCTAAAGTCAAGTTCTGTCACATCATCATCATCATCACACGTCCAGGCGGTGCTACTTAGTGCGCGAGGTCAGGGGGTCGCGAGGTGACCGCTGGGATCGTATTACGCACAATGGGCAGTGATGGAGGGGTAGGTGGGGGTCTGGGGGTATTTGTGTGTATGTGGAGCTGAGGGGGGCGGGTGGGCATATGTCTATAGTAAAGTGTCATGTGTAACCTTTAAGCATAACACAGAGGGAGGAGAGGTAAAGGGCATCCGGTCAAGCTTATACTGACAGTGTAGTTTATAGAGTCAGTCCGTCAGACCAGCGGATTTACTCGTGACAGCAGATTCCCTGTGGTTTTCTCATTATCGGTAACTAATAATGATGATTTTACATAATTACTTAGAAAACACTGCCCAATCTATTACCATTTATTTACATAGATTAATATACATACACGGGACAATATTAATGAATACAGACGGGGGGCAGATAAAATTTGTTGTTAAAATGCTTGAAAATATTGAAAATAATTGAATTGAAAATACTAGGTTCAGCATTTGTGAGTTTAGTTTTGGATATTTTATGGCAAAGTACAGTGTTATCAGTACTGAAATATATATTTTTTTTTACTTTTTTTAATTTTATTTTTAAATTTTTATTATTATTATTTTACCTGGGTGCAATAGCGGAAGGAGGATTTTTAATAATTGTGTCTTATTATGTTAAGAAAGTATTTACTGACTTGACATGATATGGGAAATTTGTCTGGGAAGAAAATTTATTTTATTTTTAATTTTATTTTGATTTTTTAAATATTTATTTAATTAATTTTTGTTCATGTATTTTTTTTATTTATTTAGTTTATTTTATGTATTTATTTTTTGTTTATTTATTTATGTATTTATTTATTTATTTATTATTATTATTGTTATTATTTTCAAATGCACTGGTCTTGCTTGTTGTATAAACCTAATTCATTTTAATAATTTTATAGAATTTTGTGAAGATAATTCAGTCAGTTTAGCTCAACTGATATTGAAAATTTGTTATACTTGCGGAAGAAAGAAAAATGTACATTATTTGTTTACTTATAACGTATAACACTGACAACATTGACATTTTTAATTAGTTATGCATAGAAACATTTCAAAATGTTAAATGCATTGGTCTAGTTTAGCATCATAGGCCTAAGCTTAGCGCAGCGTGTTTAAATAAAGACGAGGAACTGCTGAGGCCATTTTGGGACTGTCGTGGAAATTATTTATCCTCTGCAGATAAACAGTCTCGGATTTTTCCTTTTTTCCCCCACTCCAACTCAGCAGCATCTTAATCTCACTCTCTCACAAATAAACGCGTTGCTTTTTCTCCCTGTTCCTCTGTCACCGATTTCACAACCAACCAAGGTCTTAACCGCAAAACCGTCAATAAATCAACTTTTATTTATTATTTTTGTGTACAGGTTTTCCAAGGCAACACCAACCCCACTGACGTTGCCAAGACGATGCTGCCCAGACCCACGCTGACACGCTACCTTCGCATCCGGCCCGTTACCTGGGAAACTGGCATCGCGCTGCGCTTCGAGTTGTACGGATGTAAGATATCAGGTAAGTCTCTGCGAAAACCCAGATCCCCACTGATCCATAGGCAATCACTCAGCTCCACTCCCACTCGGAAAAAATACTGCGTCAAACTAGTTCTGACTGGTAATGTACTTTGAAATACTTGCTTAAGACTGTTCAGTTCAATGTAAAGACAAGACTAGCCATAAGAATATGACCACTTCCTGCTTTTGGTTTCTATGGTGAAATATAATATACTAATAAACAGATAGATACGTTTAAGGAAAAGAAATGGAAAATCAGAATAAATAAGTCGTTGACAGGATAAACCTCGGCGCTTAGATCCTGACAGTTGGAGATTGGAGGAGAGAATTATGGATTTGCAAGAAGAAATATTGGGTCTGTCTTCATGGATTTCAGTCTTTGGTTCATAGGCGCCATTTTGAGTACTTTCAAGCATTCTAATGGTGTAATATTTAATCCTGAATTGCAAGTTGCGATGGAAATGATGCTTAGTTTCTGCTGCTGTGAGAAAGATTTCGCTTAAGCGTATGGAGGGAAGCAAGACAGTTGGAGGACAAGGGCGACAAGAGTACCTAGAGAGAACCTACCAAGACCAGAACATTTTCAGGGTTCCCACACTTTTCACTGACAAAATTTCAAACCTTTTCCATGACTTTTTCCAGTTTATGGCACCCTACATGTGTAGAATTGAGTATACATTTAGGGCTAAATATTAGTGTAACGATATCCAAGTCTCATGATACGATATTGTCACAGTTTGAACCTCACCGTACGATATTTATTGCGATATCGTGGGAAAGCTCACGATATGGTGGGGAGGCTCACGATTAGGGATGTATCAATATCCAAATCTCACTGTACGATATTTATTGCAATATTTTGTGGAGGCTAACAATACTGTGAATATGCTCCGTTTTCCTCTTAAAATGCCTTGACAAGACTTAATCCAAAGAACTAAGACTTAAAAGTGTTAGAACTGTTATTTCTTCTTGTAGTCTGCACTGAAATGGAGCAAAGGATCATGGCCTTTGTAGTTCCTTCTGTCTTTTTTTTAACTGTTGTTGTACCATAATTCTTCATTTAAGCAAAGAGACTTGTAATTTGATATATTGTGATGGTCCACAATATTATTACGAGAACTTTGACAATATGACATCACAATATTTCGGGTATTGTTACATCCCTACTAAATATGAAACGATAACTCTTTCCACTCACCTTATGGTTTGGGATTGTAGTTTTTTAACAATCAAAATCCTGTCAGTGCATTTACTGTCGTCTCTTTTAAACAAAAGGTGCAGACGTTCAGAAATAATCATAATAGACTAATGAGAGCTTAACAGAACACTGTAGTTGTGTGAAACAGATACTAAAATTCCATGACTTTCATACAAACTTTTCCAGGATTTCCATGACTGTGGGAACCCTGAGAAATAGCCTAGAATATGCCAAGAATAAGAAATTTTGCTGTGAGGCTACTACTAATGGGAGAAGATCTCGTGTCACAAGATCTTGTGAGATAAAACTGCCATAAGCTCGAGCACACATGAGAAAGATCTTGTGAGATTTTCTCCCATGTGTTTACATTTCGATTGGACAAAAAAAAAAAGGGTCACGTGTTGGCGGGTTACATTTCTTACAGTTCCAAAAAGCAGTAGTACTAGAAAGGAAGCAAAAATATGAAATCAAAAAAATTGGAAACTGAATTGTGAAATTTATATATTAGGAATGATGTTACAATCTCGTCTTGTCTCGTTCTCGTGGACCTCATGTCTCATCCCATCCCTAGAGGTGACCATATCCTTGTTCATTCATTTGTCTTTTAAGTAAGTAAGTCTTTATTTATATAGCGCTTTTCACAGACATATGTCATAAAGTCGCTTTACAGAGCATTTATAGATTCATTATTGTTTTTCTCCACACCCTGTGATGGTAAGATGCTATTGTAGCCACAGCTGCCCTGGGACAGACTGACGGAAAAGCGGCTGCCATGCCAATCGGCGCCATCAGTCCCTCTGACCACCGCCATCACTCACATACTAGGAAATGTGGTTGAAGTGTCTTGCCTAAGGACACAACGACAGTTTTTTGCGACTGGCGCCCTACTGTGACACCTGATTTTCCCACTGGTCTCCCATCCAATTACTAACCAGGCCCGGCCTTGTTTAGCTTCTGACATCTGACGGGATCAGGCTTTGACAAGCTGGTATGGCCACAAAAGCACATAAACCTGCCTAAAGAACTAGTTTACCTAATATACCCTGCTAAAAATAATAAAACATTTGTTCCAAAAATGTCTTAATCTTAAAAATCCAAATGCTCTGTTCCACCTTGTGATGTCATGGTACATTTTACCTTTTGTTCCGTAAAGATAGGCAAATTCCAGTGCTGAAATGATAAAAAATGAATTCAGTGAAGGTTTACAAAGATTAAAAACAGAAGAACTCAACATGGCTGCCTAAATACATAGGATTTGTGTGTGCATGTGTGACATATGTGAATGAAACAAAGCACAACCCCAGATATGATTAGGAAACAACATTATAACATAAATCCAAAAATAGCTTAATATAGAGCCTTTTCCCTGCAAAACTCCTACACTGATACTTTGAGAACACAACCTTCATCTATCCACACACCAGAATCCATTCGCTACAATATTTTTCCTCACTCTCCCCTCAACACATGACGATAATTCTCCACGCTTTCCTGTTTTCCCCGTCGCACAAACACCTCCTGTTCGGTGAGTGTGAGAAGGCATCTTTTTATGACACACTCTGAGACGGTATAATGCAACTGCCTCGCACGAATTAGCTATTTATGTTTGGACGTAGCCAGCTAGCTCATTTATTATGAATGGTGCGGGCAGCTGGGAGGCAGACAGCGCCCGTGTGTTGCGGAGATGGGTGGGCTTTGCTTTTAGCTGGGCGTCTGTTTTGATTTTGACTCGTCTCGTCTCGGGCCTTTTTGCAGAGTGGCCGCGGGTTTGTGAGGGGGCGCCTTGAATGTTGATTAGTGATCTATTGAAATTTTGTTTGAAAAATTGATGTTGCTCTGCGTTTTTTAAAGGATTTGGTCAGGGATGTTTTGCTGGTCTAAATAATGAGTCAGTACAGAGTATTGGTCTTTGAGGTCTTGCAAATCACTGTCCTGGTGAACATTCGGTTTAGTGTCTGCCGCCCTCTGCTGGTAAAAGTAGGAACCGAAACATGTTTAAAAATATAAAGCAGCACGACTAATTCAGAGGTTCAGTATGAATCTTTCTGATTCCAAAGAAATAAGAACATTAACAGAGTAGTGAATAGAAAGTTGAAAGGTTTCATACTGTGGCTTTAGGCAACATGAAGACTTACAGATGAATGCATTTTAGAATTGAAGAGATAAAGTGATGAGAGCAAAATTGTAGTGCAGGTGTATGGATTATAAAAAGAAAAAAAAAACATTAATCACTAGTCAAACTGAGTTGTCTTTGCTCAGAGGAAAAATTTAATTACTGAAGTATTGATGAATGAAACAAAATTTAAAAATTCAAGTGTTTTTTTGTGGCGCAAATGATAACAAAGTTGAAACCATTAATTATTTTCTTAGGGCCTGTTTACACGAGAACGCTTGTGGGTAAAAATGACAAAATATTTGATCGGAAATGCCTTTTGTTTAGATGGTGACGGCATTTTTGGGACTTAAAAATCTGAGGCGGATCAGAGAGAGACATTTTAGGTTTAAACCAACTCAATTTCAGCTGCATTTAGAGATTTGTGTGAGGCTCGTTCTGCTTTCTGATTGGATAGTCATCTTGAGAACCAAAACACCAAATTACGAAATAAACAATTTGATCATCATGTCTAGTGTTTTTGTAATTAAGAATGAATCTGTTTTCTTGGAACACTCTTAGGCCATGTTTATGACATTTTAAATCAAAATCTTACATACAGTTCTTTTATTTCTGGAACTTTTGGACTTGCTTGTTGTCCCGTTAGCTTTTTTTTTTTTTTTCGAGTTGTGTTCATGTAACCAGTGAAGTCAACTGTTGAGCTGCGTACCTCTAGTGTACCAGCGTGCGTGTGATCCCTGCCATGTGTGCTGCTGTCTGCACTCGGCCCGCAGTCTGTGCAGCACATGTCCTCTTCATGTAAGGAGCGCTGCATTGTGGGTGCAGCAGACGTACAGATGGGGCTGCGTTCGGGCTCGGCACCAGACCGCCGCGGCACACAGCGTAAACACATCACAGGAGGGTGGCACCGCAGGCCCTCGCCGGTGACGTCAGCACCCCTGGGTCTTCAACAGACGCAAGCCAGGCTCACGGTTCAGGGCGCAGTAAACCCGGTGACTCCCTGGGCTGTTGTCATTTTAAGTATTATTCGTGTTAGTACTAAAGGGCAAGCAATGTTTAGATTAGAGATAGACTGATATATAGGTTTGTCGATGTAATTTACACTTTTTTGCATATTGGATATTCCCAAATAGAGTTTAAAGGTCCAATATTACACAAAATTTTCTATTGTGAGCTTTAAGTCATGCTAGAATGTTGTTATCTCCTCAAAAACAAACCCCAACTTGTGTTTTGTTTTATTTACATGTTTGAATAACCCTGCATTATCACTGTGTCTACATCTCCAAAGCTCAAAATGCTCTGTTCCACCTTGCGATGTCATGTACACTACCAGTTAAAAGTTTTAGAACACCACGCTTTTTCCAGTTTTTTACTCTTTACTGTCTACTGTTGACCAAAACATATTCTAAACTTTGAATTGATGAAAATGGCAGATATAACAGCTGAACACCCTCGTGATTCATTCTTTTTACAGTAGAATAGAGTCAAATATTGTTCAGAAAGTTCTTCCCAAGTCTGTTGCAGAAGTTTCCATAAATGTGTGGCACTTGTAGGTTGCTTCACTCTTCTGTCCATCTCAAACCAGCTCGATGGGGTTTAAGTCTGGACACTGTGCTGCCGGACACTCCATGTTTTCAAGTTTACCATATTGTTCTTTTTTCCTGAGGTAGTTTTCGCAGAACTTGGACTT